TGGCCGTGGGCCAGGCTTCTTCTGCCAGAGCATCCGCACAGGGCACAAAGCACTCTGGAACATGAGCCTTAGCGCTGGCCCAAGGGTTGGCCTTGAAGGAAGGAGGCTTCAAAGGCCCCTGGAGAGGAATGGGGGCCTTATTGGGCATGAGAGTAGGGAAGGGGGCAGTAAAATGTTTCCTGAAGGCCCCTCCATAGAACTTCTGGACTTTGCTGCCACCTTGTGGACAGCATCTAGAAGGCAGGGTTGTGGCTGCCCTTGGCCAAAGATGGACATCCCACTGCGGACCAGAGGACAGATAGTTCTTTCCCAGTGGGGGTTCTCCCAGGCACGTGGAAGTGAATTCCCGGGCTCCCATAGTCTTAGCTGTCATCGTTGTGATGTGACTCTTTGCCAAGAGTTTAATTCTCTTTGCAAAGACACAGGGACACAGGAGTGGCATTGCTTGGGAGAGACCCAGGATCAGGATGGGCCACCTAAAGTGGGCCAGTGCTCCAGACACCTGCCCAGAGCAGGAACTCAAAGCTGCAGCTTTAGGGAAGAACTCTGTGCCAAGAAGCTCTGAATGTGCAGGGGTGAAGGAGAGGAGTAGCAATGGGGGAAAAGGGAACCGGAAGGTACGGGACACAGAGGTCTGCGTTCATCCTGGTGGGGGCAGGAACTTTAGCCCCCCCGGCCTTGTGGTGGATGACCAGCTTATTTCACCCTGCCCATCTCTAAATGGGGACAAGAAGGATAAAGGCCTCTCCTCTACTGTACCCTAGGAGCAGTTCCTCCTAGGATGGGATGTGAACCATCCGAGAAGGACTGCCGTCTCTCCAGCACAGCCTCCTGATTTCCCGGCTTTTGCCCCACGCTGGGAGCACAGTGCCCCACACCGCTTATCGGCCAGTACTAATATGATGGTCCCCATTTTACAGGTGAGAAGATGAAGCACAGGGGAGTTAAGTGCTTGTCTGAGGTTTCACAGCTAGCCTTGTGCTGGGGACAAATTCCAAATTTGGGGTCTCCCACTCCACATGGTAATCTTATGTTGTCCTCAATAAATACATTGCAAAAAGGGAATGGGAGTAGCCAGGCTTCGGGTGTGCCAGCCCTAGGCTTCCTCCCAACTAAAGCTCTGATGGGAAATTGAGGCAGATCTCTCCTCCCTGGTCTGCCCCCTTCCAACCTAGATAGATAAAGTTCTCTTTTTAAAGACTTCTAGGAAATGAAATTCTATGCCTTCCTTTTCCGACTCCCAATCTAACTAATATTAGGAATAGCATCATCAGAAAATTCTTCCTACAGTCTAACCTCCACACTTCCAGACAGAAGAGAGAGAGGGGATGCAGAGCAGGCTTCTATTTCAGAGAGGGGTATTCTTGGTCCCCAAAACGAGGATTTAATTCTCTAACCGTGACAGTCAGGGCTGGCCAGTCACCAGCCTCAATGGGATAGCTTAAATTATAGAGGACCAAGTTAGAAAAAAGAAAAAAATTACCCAACTCCCAGCACTGGTACTGCAGCTGATAATTAATTATCTGCTGTCTGTGCGCGTTGGTAGGGCTCCCCCGACTGCTCACTGGTCAGGGTGTGTGGTGTGGCCAGGGGAGGCGGCCAGTCAGTTGGTGTCAGGTCAGGACAATCGTGTGGGGACGGTGCAGACCCTTCTCGACTTCACCCCCTCCTTACCACCCCTCCACTCCCCTCCAATCGAGGAAGGAGCTGCCCTCTCTTGCCCACCACCCCTCCCCAACCCCTCGGGAGGGAGGAGATGGGGAGTGATTAGCACGGGGCATTGTCCCCGGATAATGGGCCCCAGCTGCTGCATGAAAGAAGCAACAAAGCGCCTGGCGGCTCCACTTGCATTATCCCCTCGTTAAATCTCTGTTATTAGATTAGATTCAAAATGTATTGATTCAGAGGCTGGGGGAGGGAGGCGAATCTGGCTGGCGAATGCTGAACCACACCTCTCTGCGAGCTCTTCCTCTCCCTCCTTCACCCAACCAGGCAACTTTTCTTCCTCTTACAGAAACCTCCCCTAAGCCCGCATCCTGGCCTCTGAGCTCAGCCACTCTGTCTGGGCCGCTGGGTGTCCACTCCCAGGAGGCATCCCCGAGACTCCTGAGCTCAGGTTTCCTTGGGAGGAAAGGCAGCCCCCTCCCGGGATGGCTTGGGAGCAGCGCGGCTCATGGACTCACGGAGGGCCGAGGGGTTCCGGCTGGGCACTTTCAACACCTTTGATGGAATCTTTTTAGTAGAAACGACAGCTTTGGAAAGCAGGGTAGGGGGGAAAAGGAGATGAAAACCGGAAGTATTTGTAGGGGAATAGAGAAGACTGCGGGAGAGGAGGGGAGGGGAGGGGAGGGAGAGAATCGCCAAGCTTCTCAGAAGCACCTATGAAGACATAAGGGTTTCTGGTTTTCTCTCTCTGCTCAGGAAAGCATGAGAGGCGATGAGCGGAATGGCAAAAGGAGGGGAGGAAGCAGGTTCTGGGAGGTATAACAAGTGGGAGGGAAATTCTGGGTGTTCTCACACCTCAGACGGAGCAAAGGTCTCTTTGGAGAAGGCCAAGATCGTATGGATGGGCAGGAGTTAGTGCACTGGGACATTCTCTGACCTTGGGCCTCAGTTTCCCATCCCTGGGCAGCATAGCCCAGATGCTAGATCAATGTGCTGATTGGATGTAGCTACTGGAGCAGAAGATGTTACGTGTGGCGGCTCATTCTTGAGGTGGTTAATTGGCTGCCTCGATGCTGGGCTCTGTCGCCCCATTGATTGTGGGTGAAAAGGGTGGGATGGGGGAGGTGGAGAATCAATAGTGCAATTAGTGTCTTACTAGCTCTTTGGTTGGACGCTTCTCCAATAGCCACCCACTTACTGACCAGTGGTGCATTCGCAGTGCCGAACTGTCCACCTTTCTATCCCTCTGGCCTGAGACGTGAGAATCACCTATGGCATGGCTGGCCCAAGCGAGTCTTAGTGAAATGGGGCTGCTTTGGGTCCTAGGACAAGGCTCCAACATATGGGCTGCAGGGGCCATCCTGAGAGAGGAGCGATGAACAATCCCCACCTCTAGCCCAGTCTCTGCTCAGCAGAAAGCAACAATTATGAGTGGGGCCAATCCCCAGCCCCCAAATCTCTTGCTTTTTGCTGGAAGACTCCGATCCCTACCCATCAAGAGATGTTGGTTTTGCCTTCAACCTAAAAACAAAGTAGTGGGGGATGAGCAGAATTCCAAATTCCAAAATGAAGATAACTAATCCCTGATCACTAATATCAAAAGTACATATGCTTGGGAGGGAGATAGCAGATGAAACTTCATTCCCAGTTTGCCTTAGGAACAATGAGCCAGTTAGACAGTATTTAGTGGGTTTAAATGCTGGGGAATCTGGAGTGAGAAGAAGCTGAGAGAAGCTAAACTAGATAAGCCCCCTTCCTCAGCCTCTGAGCTCTTTCAGACGTGAATCTTCCAAGGTTCCATGGTTCTGCCCTCTTCCCAGTCTCCTGGATGGTTTATGAACTAGAATTGCAGAGTTTGGGGTCCGGGAAATGCATAGTTTCTGGTGTCTCATACTGTAGAGTCTCTTATATTAATAATTGGCCTGGAACAACTGTGGAGGCAGTGAAAATGTTAGAACTCATCCCAGGTATCCCATTTGGGCCCATTCCCTTTAGCCTGGCAGTATTAGTCCCTCTCCACCATGCCTTCTGCAGAGTGACAGGCAGCACAAGATAGGGGAGGGATAAGGCTGCGATGAGACTGGGAGAACCAGAGAAAGCCTCATTCACACACTGTGAATGCTAAGACAGGCTGCCCTTGGGGGCGTCTAGCATCCTTTTTCTCTGGAAGCTTGTTAGGTGGATGGAGCAATGGAGCTGAGGTGTTCCTTAGCATGTCTTAAGCCCTGCTGTCTGGGAGAGGGAGCCAGGATATGAGACACAAGATCAAAGACCATCCTCCCGACCGCCTCCCTCATGGTCCTGCTTTCTGGTGGATGCACGGGGACTGACTACTGACAGTTTCCAAAGGAGATAAGTAAATCCAAGCCTTGGCTTTCTTGGTATTTTCCAACACCAAATCCACTGGTGCTGACCGTGGTGCTGAAGTTCTTGTCCTCCTCTCCCTCCTCCCCTGCCAGAGCACACCCGCCCCCACCCCCCCACCAAATTGTGAGATACTCTTGCAGGGAGAGTTTGCTCTCAGCTGCACTGAGAGATCATGAGACTAGAATAGTAATAGGACTTCATGGATCCTTCCAGAATCTTTCGAGGGGGGTACAGAACTGAGCTTTCTTCTCTCTCCTCTCATTGCTGAGTGTTCATTGTCCTGACCCTAATACCTTTAATCCTACCTTCTACTCATTCTTCTTCATAACAGCTACCCTTTGGTCACCTCCCAGATCCCTGGGCCAGAAAGCACCAAACAGCTGAAACTACAGATAATTCCCAAACCTCATTTCTACCAGTAACTTTAAGCCTCTTCATCTGCCCATCTACTCTTTTCCCAAAGCTGCTGACAAAGGGTCGAGAAGTGTCATGGCAATGTGTTGCCCCCACCCACCCCACCATCTGATGGAGGATGGTGTTCAGGGAAGTGGCCACAAGTGAGGTGAAGAAGGAGACATAGGGGTTGGACAAACCTAGCGCAGAGTTGTCAGGCCCTACTGCAGTAGAGAGTTGGTTTTGCCTTCAACCTAAAAACAAAGTAGTGGGGGATGAGCAGAATTCCAAAGTGCCTTATTCAGAGAAGGAACCGTGGGGAAACTTAGTTTGATACATAGTTAAGTAGAGTGAAGTTCAGGAGTGCTCGGATTTCTCTTGATCTAAGATAGCATATTTTAAAGCCATAATGAGCAGTTGGGTGGGAAGAGGATGGAAGGGTCTTGAACATTAAGTTTTGGGGGGAAGGGTTCAGACACTGGTTCAGGATTGCTGAGATGACTTGGCATTGGAAATGGGATGGGACTGTATCTGTGTTTTGAAGATGTCCCTGGTATCTCTTGGGCCCTGAAGGACCTAAGCAGAAATCTTCTGTCCTCATCCTAACCAGACCCATATCTTCCTCCCCTGCTGGGCTGCACCCACTCAAGAATAATGCCAGATGGACCAGAGCGTGACCAGGGTGACACTGTAGGTCAGCACCACCATCAGGTAGATGCGGAAGAGCAGCTTGTCCAGCACAGAGCCCACCTGCAGCCAGTCCCGGGCCACCTCTCGGATCTCGTCCCGCTTCTCCAGGAAGTGCCGGATGGAGGACAGTTCCTGCAGCAGCCCATGGACGGCCAGCGAGGCCCCTCTTGGGGGCGGAGGAGGGCTGCATCTGCCCCTCGGGGTCTTCTCCAAGTCCAGGGATCTTCCCAAATGGCCACAGTGGTTTCCCATGGCTGAAAGAAGGGCAGAGCTTTGGCAAGGGAGAGCCAGTGGCATGGCCTGAACATTGTCCCTTATGTTTCTACAGCCTGTAAAATTTTTGTTAGGAACAACTTCAGACATAAAATGTATAGAAGGGAACTTACCTATCTGCAAACCCACAATCTAACTTAAACAAATTCAAAAAAGCAATACGATTGAGGATCCCTGCGTACCCTTCCTTAGTCACAAACTCCACCCCTTCCCCAGATCACTAATATTATGAAGTTCTCCTTCCTGTGTGTTTTTCAATGTATGGGCTTTCTCCAGCAATCTGACATCCATTATTTTATTTGAGCCTCACAATAGCCGCACGAGAGAGGCAGAGTAGGAGAGATCACTGTTCCCACTTGCTATACGATAGTGCTGACCTCAGCGAGGCTAAGTGACTAGCCCGTGGTCACATAGTTGGAGCATCATTTAATACCAAGGCCCAAGAATCTGGACCCCAACTCCACTGCTCTCCTGTTACGTCATCTTGCCTCAGAAGGGGGCGGCTGTCTGGAGGGCACTGCTGTGATCTCCATGACTCTGAGTCCTGGACCAGAAAATACACCTTCAGGTATGGCTACCGTCACCAAGTGAAATTAGCTTCAGGCCAGTGGGATGGTCTTAGATGGACCAAAAGTCTCATGTAGAAAGCCTCGCCCTGCCCAGGAGGAAGGGCGAAAGGGGATAGAGAGGAGAGGAATGCTTAAGAACAGGAGCTTAGAGTCAGGTGGGTTCAAAGCACAGTTCCACCAGTTCCTGGCTCTGTGGTTTAGGACAGCCTACGTCTCTGCTTCCTCATTTGAAAAATGAGAATCCTATTGGATTGTCATGAGTATTACATGTGATAATGCACAGAAAGTGCTTTTCACGTGCCTGGCACAAACTGCTCAATCGATAGCCCAACAAACCAACCACCACCACCACCAATAACAACAATGGTAGCTGTAACAATTCTTCAGGAGGTGTGAGCCCCACATTTAGTGTCTCCCTGTGCCCCTGTCTCTCTGCCTCATGTTGAAATTCTAAGGAACCTGGTCTTTGAGCTATTAAGAATGAGAGAGTTTTAGAAATCGCAGCTGCAGCATTTAACCATGTGAGGCAAAAAGGCCTATAATTGCCCAAGGGGCATCCATTTGACCTCACTCATGGCTCCATCTCAGAGACAGGCCAATCTCAGGCCAGAGGGCTCAGCTTCCGACATGCTCAGCCTCTGGAACTCCTACCTTCTCTGTCTATAGCCAGGTTGATGAGAGGTCGTCAAAATGAAGACAGGATCAAGACTGACACCTTTGGCAGAAGTCTGCCCCTCCCAATAAGGCTGGGCATGGGCACCGCATGCAGGACAGCACCCAGTTCCCAGGCCCTGCCCAGCCTCCTTGGCCTGCTACGCCCTCCAGAGACTTGCCACCACTCCCTGCATCCAGGCCAGAAGTGGCCCCTTTGTGGGGGACTCCCCCCCCACTCACCTGAACAATCATCAGTCTTGGTGGCTTGGGAGGCGGCTGGGGGCCTGTGGGAAGTCGACTGCTCCCTGAGGCACGGTAGTCGGGTGATCCTCTCCAGCACCAGGTGCCGTAGCCAGGCAGGAACAGGCTGCTGCAGGTCTTGTTTGTGCACCAGCCGCACAATGAAGATGGTCTCGGCCAAGCTTATCACCAGCAGCGCCATGCACACCACAAAGTAGACACCTGTGTGCCCCGGGTGGGGGGAAAGACACACATGAGAGGTGGGAGGGGGCCGGTTTCTCCTCAGCCTGAGCTCTTCCTTCAGAAGAGGCCTTACCGATGAGGGGGGTGCCGATGGCAGTGGCCGGCAGCGTGTCGGACACAATGATCAGGAAGACTGAGTAGCCCAGGAGGAGCGTGATCTTGAAGGAGACCCTCTCGCCACTGTCTGGGGGCAGGTAGAAGCCCATGATGTCCATGACCATGAGGAAGATACTGGGCAGCAGCAGGCCGACGACGTAGAACAGAGGCCGCCGGCGGATGACCACCTGGGACCAGGAGAGGAGCTTGTGGGAAGCCTGGGGCAGACAGGCTGTGCCCCCGGGAGCCACCCCCAACCCCGACCCCCTTGCTTCATGGAGCTTCCAGCTCAGATTTCTCAGAGAAGGAAATGGACAGACCCCATGTCCTGCCTCTCAATCCAGGCTTGTGGCTGTTCAGGATAAGTAAGGGACATTCAGCTGAGTTTCCCCATCTACTTGGTTGAAGTTTCCAGGGATGTGGGGGACCCTAGTGTTAAAAAGGGGCTATGGAAGGCCTTCCCAATAAGCCTCCTCAAGTCCACCTTGGTGTGGAGGTCTAGGGGCTTTATTCACCATTTTACGTACATCCACCTCACTCACATAGAACTTCATTTCTGCGTAATGGTCGCTGCTTTCCATACTGAACTCCCGAAACTGGGTCAGCACTCCCAGCAGCTCCCACTCTCCCTGGTTCATGAAGACGCTCTTGTCCGACTTCACCTTTTCTGGTGAGCGCCACAGGGAGACGTTGATGTCTTGGACTGAGAGAGAAGAAGGCAGGCCGCTTGGCATCGAGCACCAGGAGCCTGCCAGACCCTGTGACGGCGGAACGCGAGTGCGCAGCCACCCGGGGAGGCGGAGGCAGACGGCTAGACCTTGAGCCTCAGCTCTCAACCTTCAGCCTTGGTTTGCTCAGCTGTAAATGAGGCACCACTACACATCATACCTATCTCACAGGGCCGTAGTGAGGGCAAGGGAGGTCTTGGATGAAAACACACAGCACAGTGCAGGGAACCATACAACCCCTTCATGCGCACACACACACACACACAAACACACATGCACACATCCCTTCCAAACACCTTTCTAGGCTCCCCTGTTAGAATTACTCATTTCAGAAATAAACGAAAGTCAACACACTTCACCGTTGCCTTGATGGAACTGCCTGTCTTTAAACGTTAGTAAAATAAGCAAAATCCACACTTAAAGAATAAAAGTTCCACTTCTCAGTATCTACACTGGAGAAATACGTGCCAGGAAGGACAGCAGTGCCTCTTGCAGTAGAATATTGGAAAAGACATAAATATCCATCAATCAGGAAAATACTTAAGAGCTATGGTGCATCCAAAATCATGAGATGTAGGCTGGGCGTGGTGGCTCACACCTGTAGTCCCAGCTACTCGGGAGGCCGAGGCAGGAGGATGGCCTGAGCCCAGGAGTTTGAGGTTGCTGTGAGCTAGGCTGACGCCATGGCACTCTAGCCCGGGCAACAGAGTGAGACTCTGTCTCAGATAAATAAATAATAGTCTATAGCAGCTAAAATTTATGAGGAAGATCTAAATATGCACTAACTTAGAAAAGTGTTCAAGAGCTATTGTTGAGTAAAAAGAATCAAGTAACACTATATTGTAGTATATAAAATACGATACATTTATGTAAAATAAAAACTCAGAAAATAATTCCCATGCATTTTCCATAGATGTGTATGTGTGTGTCTATATGCACACATGCATGTGTGGATATAAATGTGCAGAGAAGGATCTGGAAGAATATACTGTACTATATGAAATTTATGCTGACAAAAATGGTTGACTCTTATCGTAGGGAGTTGTTGGAAAAGAGTTTGAGAGATTGAGGGTAGAGGTCAAAGGAGACTTTAACCTTATCTGTAGTTCGGCTCTTGGTCAAGGAAGTTATTATGTATTACTATCAGAATTTAAATTTAATGTCATGAATACGTCAGAACAGAAATGGAAGATGCCCTCTTGCAGCAGGATGGTGCACACTGCACTAGCTCTCCAGTGAGCACCTAGCATTCATCCACCTGGTAAAATTTGCTGAGCACCTTCCTTTGTGCCAGGCAGTGAACCAAGAATCTAATGGTGGGCAATAGATCATGTCCCTGCCTGCTCTTAAGTTTATACCTAGGAGGAAAGTAGATACTGAGCAAGTACTTACAGGGGAGGTAGAGATGGGGAGAACAGGGTGTTGTCAAGTTGGGCAGCAGGGATAGCCTAGCCTGGGGGATGAGAGGGAAACTGAGGAGCTGACACTTAGGCTGTGGCCAGAGGGGTGAGTCGAGGGGTTGCCAGGCTCAGTTGTTGGGGAGAGGGAGGAGGGCGGCGAGGTAGCCCAGGAGAGGAAACGGCACGTGGTGAAGGGAAAGAACAAGGGTGCTGGGGCTGGAAGTCAAGGCGGCTGGGCAGGAGTGGAGCCAGGGCGGTGTGCAGCAGGTGAGGCCAGAGTGGTAGCAAGGCAGAGCCAGCCCACGGATTTGGACCGTGTCCCAGGACTGCCGGGAGGCCACTGAGGGTTTTAAGTGACTTGGTCAGATTTGCATTTTAATAAGATCTCACTGGCTGCTGTGAGGAGCATGAATTGGAGGAGGACAACAGTGAACGGGGGAGACCAGGGAAGAGGCCGATGAGAAACCTGGGCAGGAGATGGGGGTGGCTTGGTGGGGGGTGAGGAGAAGCGAGTGGATTGGAGAGACATTTAGTGCCAGATCCTGTTTGAGATACTGGAAAAGAATTGTCCTTTCCTGGGCATCTTGCAGTCGGTTCACACTGTCTCGTCAAATCCTTAGGACAATGGAAAGAGCCAGCGAGAGCAGCAATGTTCTCCCCATTGGAGGATGAAGAAGCAGAGGCTCAGAGACATTAAGAAGATCGGTGGGAAGTAAGCTGGATAAGGGAGAAGGCAACCCAGGGAGTGCTCCTTGCCTGGATGTCCCTGGGGCCCCAAACTTCCACCCCTCCACCCCCAGAAGCCCACATACTCACTGGTGTGCAGCCAGCTGGTGAAGGTCAGCGAGCAGTTCTGTACGTCGAAGGGGAAGTTGTAGATGTCCAGGCTACACGCGGTCACCACCTGGAGGGGCTTGTAGTTCTGGACCTCGCCGTAATGCTGAACATACACGTATGGGATATTTGGAGACTTCCCCACGTCCACGCTGGCCAGGGAAGAGGGGTCAGTTTGGGGGCACAAGAGGCAGGTGAAGCCCTGGGAGTCTGAAGATCTCTGAGCAGCCCAGCAGGGAAAGAAATTCAGGGAGGGCACAGGCAGCAGGACAGCACGGGCAATTCTGTCTGGCTTTGGTTTTCCCAACCTTCCTATCTTAGGCTTCCTGACCTGCCATTGTCAAGGCTACTTTCCAAGCAGGAAAAGGCATTTCTGCTTTTTTCTCCTGGTCACAGAAGTCAGGGGGGAAAGATCCGTGGACCCAAAAGCCACGGGCGGTGGGGAGCTTGCCCAGCTGCCCCTGCGCCGTTGTCCCCAGGCCAGGCAGAGCTTGGCTCCCGCGATCACCAGCCCTGTGGGGACAGGCGGGCTTGTGGGGGAGAAAAGAACCTTATGTTCCATCCTGACTCTGGCTTGTCTTTGTTTCCCACCCCCAGAAATCCTTTGAAATGAGAATAATCCTCTCTGAAGGAAAGGGAGCTAGAGAAATCACAGGCAAAGATTAGGGAAGCCAGAAAAGTCCCACGAGACTTCATCCCACTCTCTTGGCTGATCTGGGACATGTAGGCCCTTCTGAGGGACTGCTGTGGGCCAAGGTGGGTGCAGCCTGGCCTCCGAAGCCTTCATGCTCCAGTGGGATCAGGCTGAGACATGAGAAGTCAAGACTAAGGCCACTTCACTGTTGAAACTGGACATCCGGCCAGAAACGGATTTCCCAGAACCCCTCCAGCCTGAGCTATGCAGGGCATGGGCGTGGGGTCAAGGTCAACCGCCTCCTTTGGGAAAATGTCAGTGGCACCCTGGAGTTGGGCAATGCAGTGGGTGTTGGGTGGAGGGCTCTGGCCCCACCTGTCACCTTCCCTTCTCCATCCATCTCCCCCAGCCACTTCCCTGCCCTTGAATTCGGAAGCCCAGCTGGTGCACCCTGAATGAACCTGCAGGATAGGGAGAAGATATTTGGGCTGGGGTCAAATGGAACAGCGTTTGGCCACTGGGAATAAAGGCTTCCTGGACCCACCTTGTATTGGAGGAGCAATCTGTGGCCTGTCGGGCACATGTGTGACTTGGGATGTTTGAGCACGTCCTCCAGCTCCAAAGCTCCCCTGTGCAGGAGGGAGTGGCTCCAGTGGCCACCAGGAGCAGTGGCCACCATCAGTGCTCTATTCCCTTTAGAAACATTGCTGTCCCCTCTAAAAATGCAGCTGTTCCCATTAGGCTGTTGTAACGCAGTGTGAGTTCATTCACTGGCGTCTTTCTCCACGACAGGGGCCCTCAGACTAAGTACAGAGTTTCAACATCAGGCACAGAAAAAGAGGAGTTTTTAAAAAGAAAAATAAAGGGGAAAAAAAGACAAAGACTTTGGGGAATGTGGGCTCCAGCCAACTTTCCCTACAGTCTGCCAGTCTGGTGGGACGTCTCAAAGGCGGCAGCAGCGATCTTGTCTCCCAGCCCCCAAGCCACCTGGCCACCCGGCATCTATGACAGTACTCACAACTCGTTGATGAGAATGTCTGGGACCCAGACGCTGTCCGTGGGGATGGACAACTTGGTGATGTTGTCAAAGTCCTCAGGGTTCCACCGGAGGAACTCATCAGTCCAGTGCTAGGGGAGGGGCAGGAGGGGTCACGGGCAGCCCTCTCCATCTTGGGAGAGGGTCGCCTGAAACTCCGGCAGACTTCACCCTCGGTGCCCAGGCAGCAGGCAGCCGTCTTCCAGGGAAAATCTGGGTGTTGGTGGCACCTACGTGCCTCAGCGGTAACTGAGTACCCCCCACCTCCGTACTCACACTCTCCCTACAGGCATAGCAACGCTGGAGGATGCAGCCTCTCCCAGGGAGGGCATTTGGTCATTTCTAGTGTTACGGGTCCCCTAGCCACTCACTGAGGGATCTCTGATAAATAACCTCTTGGGTCGTGGCCCGGACCTCTATGGATGGGGATAATAATGTCCACCTCACGGGGTAGACGTGGCTATTAAGTTTCGATCCACATGTTCTCTCTCAGCCCAGAATGGCTGGTCTAAAACGCAAATTTTGTCATGTCACTCTCTTGCTTAAAGTTCTTGGATGGTGCCCCATTGGCCTTAGGATAAGGCCAAGAAAAGCCTACATAACCTGGCCTCCACCGTCTCTCTAGCCTCACATTTTGGCCATGCCTCTGTGAATTCTACACATATGAATGTAGAACTATCCAAACCTCTGCATTTCTGAGTCTTCTGCTCCCTCTCCTGTATGGCAAGCCCTGTCTTCTTACCAAGGTAAGTGATCCTCATCCTTCCAGACTTAGCCAAGGTATCTGTCTGCTCCCTCCTCCAGGACACCTTCCGTGACCCCCACACCATAGGCTGGGTTGTATGGGCCTCCTCTGTGTTCCCTGGTTAGCATCTTGTCTTTGTTGCATTGGAGTGGCTATGTCGTTGCATTTCAATTGTCTGTCCCCGTGTCCCTGTATCTGTTGCTTCCACTAGTCTGTGAGCTCATTGTGGGCAGGATCTGAGTCTAGTTTGTGTCTCTAATTCCAGTCCCTACGCACAGTTGCTGGTATATAGTAGGTGGACATTCCCTCACAGCTGACTGCAATAGCTGAGGTGGACGAGTGGGCCTAGAGGCACAGAGGCGGGACCTGGGCCACGTGTCCTGGGGAAAGGAGCTTCTAGTCTTGTTTGGGTCCTTTTCCTTGAGGCAGGGTTGCTCTGTAGTAAGGGGTCGCTCTGTGAGGCAGAGACGGAGCAGTATCTAAGGATCAGCATTCTGGCTCCTTCCTGCAGCCCACCCCCCTCCCATGGGCGAGTGGTGGTGGTGGCGCAGGCCCATGAGCAGCGAGGAGGGATTCACAGACACCCACGCACACCCCAGAGCCTCTCTCGGGCGTGACCTCTGCGAGCCGTCCTCAATGACCTCCTGCTCCCCTCTCTTCAGCCACTCTAGCTTCCCCTGCTGCCCTGACGTTTTCCCTGCAATCCCCGGGGCTGCCAGAGCTGGGCCCTCCTGCAGACAGCAGCCTTCACTGTGTGCCTGCCCTCCCCTGCCAGCACGAAGCCAGAGCTCCTGTCAAGGCCTGAGCCCACACACCCGTGCCTGACCCGTGCCCGTCAGAAGCTGGAAGAGAGGAGAAACGGCTGAGGATGTGAGGGCTAAGTGGATGGAACGAACCATCCTGTTTCAATCACTCAATTTGGTTGTTGTCCAATTTGCCTTAATAGGAGGAAGAACTGTCTAGCAATTAGAGCTGCTTGCAAGTGAAGTGGCTGCCTTGTGGGTTCCCTGGCACTGGAGGTGCTCCTGCAACAGAGGCTGGACAAGCATTGGTTTGGGATGCTGTGAAGAACTTCGGAAATTGGAGGGGGCTTGGAGGATTTCTCCTCCACTGATCTTTAAGCTCCCATCCACCCCCAGTCCTGAGATGGGAAGATTCCAGACTCCTGGATCTCCCACAGAGGGTGCCTCTGAACCTCTCCCCTCACCTACTCCCACCAAGGCTGCTGAGATTCTCGATTCCTTCAGATGGAGAAACCCTTCCAGGGAGGAGACGTCCCCATCCCAGGAAACCGGGGCAGGGGAGGGGCTGGCCTGCTCACCTGCCGGTACCAGATGTAGGTGGTCAGGACCTGATTCTTCTCATCCTGGGAAAGGGAAGCGAGCTCAGACAGGTGGTCCCGAAGGCTGGGGGGCCACCCTGCACACACCACCCCCAAAAAGGAGCTGCTTCCTTGTGCCTCTACTTCCTTGGGAGGTTAAGAGTGTAGAAAGGAGCCCGGGGTTGGGGAGTGGATAAGCTGGAGATGCCTGGCCAGCCAGGAAAGGTTGGGCTTTTACTAGGAAAGAGATAACGATTGTTTCTTTTTCAAGTTCAAATACATATACGCATATATATTATACATACTCTCTATTATTTCCTATTGTGTTCTATGTTACACACGCATATAGCCTGCCTTGTATGAAATCAAGAAGTACAAAGCCACACAGAGTGAGAAATTCATCGCTCTCCCATTTCCCCCATCCAGTTCCCAGTCTCCCTCCCTGAAGCCCCACAGTGACCAGTTTATTGTGTTTCTGCCCAGAGATGTTCTAAACGCAGTGACTTCATTCTGTATCGAGGCAGCTACGGTGACTATGACGGACACTGTAAAGTCAGGTCCACCCACCCCAGCCCAGCACAGTGCCACTGCATCTCTGCAGTTGCCTTCTTGTTTAATTAATTGATCAAAGAAGTGATCTGTTGGTTGATTCTTCAACAACCATTTAATGACACTGCCACGTACCAGGGATCTGTGTAAGGCACAGAGAACACAGAGATGAATAGGACAGTCTCAACCCAATATAGTGCTATGGTTGCCCTTACACAATGTATGAAGAACCACACACAGGAAGTGACCCACTGGCTGTAGGGGTGCCAGAGAGGCAGCCACACAGGTGACCCTAGGTTTCTGGTGTGGACGGCTGTGCAGATGGCGCGTCCATTCATTGTCAGCTGTGGTCCCAGACCTTAGGTACTATGGGTTCTCGAAGGGCCACTTTGCTTCCCAGGGAGTGACTTGGTCTCACATGGCCACCTTCTACCCCCTAAAAGGTCCCCCTACGAGAGGGGCAGCTTGGAGCTGGGTGCTCACCACGCTGAGGATGGCATAGACAATGACGTCAATGGACACGGTAGTTGGCTTCCTCCAGTCCCACACGGGCCGCACCCCTTTCTTGTAGTTGGCCAGGAGGTGATCCGACAGCCTCAGCAGAGCGGGCCTGCTGGTGTTCCGGCCCTGGAGGCCCCCCCTCCGCCTGGCTGGGAAGGAGAGCGGTTCAATGTGGACACCAGAGCCCGAGTCTTCCCCCAGTTCCCTTGCCCTGGTTTGCAAGCTAAATCCCTAAATGCCCCCACAGACTAGAATTCTCACCACTAGAGCATTTTGTCTGTAGAGATTCCCACCCAAATCCAAGTGGATGCCTCCCAGAAGCCACCTGCGCTCTCATTTACAGTAGAGCAGGCATGTGGCCCATAAGCAAAGGTGACAGGAGACACAGGAGCTTTGAAGGAGGCTGAGGGCTGAGAAAGGTGGAGAGTAGGGGGGGTCTGTGGGGCCCCGGCTGAGGGGTCCTTGGGAGCAAAGGGAAGCTGGCCGTCACTGGGTGATACTAGAAGGTGACAGGGGTGCAAGAAAATGTGACCCCAAGTGCACAATTTCCAAGCTTAACGGTCTGCATCAGAGTTGTCCTCAGCTGAGGTCAGGTCTCAGCGTCTGCACAGATCACTGTCTCCTTGACCCCAGCCTGTAACTGGGGAAGAAAGAAGGAAGGGTGGACATCTGGAGAAAAAAGAGATTCCCTCTCCCTCCTGCAAAAGCCACCCCAAATGATCCCCGCCCCCCTCCCTCCATGCACATACAGGCTACGGGGGAAGGGTTTGCAGGAGGGCTGCTCTGTGGGCAAACTTGATGGGGTTAGGGGGAAAGTTGGGGTGAGGTGTGGAGGGAGCAAGGAGAAACCAAACTGCCCCCAGGGCAGGAGGCCTGCAGGGACAAAGTAGTGATGAGGAAGCCAATTCCTAGGCCCTAGTCCTGTTCTATGCGGATTTTCGTGTGCACCTCGGTGTTCCCTCTGGGGACACTAGGGGCACTTTCTGAAGGGAGGCATGAAATACGAAGGTGAAGGTGCATGGGGTGGGAAGGGGGTACACGCTGGAGGACCACGGTACAGGTGGCAAAGAGGAGATGGGACTGGCGGAGTAAATCGGGGTCTTTCACACACCGGGTGCCAGCAGGCCGGGCTCTCACTGAGCAAGACTGCCCCTTCTCTCATCCCGTGCGCAACCTGCGCAGCAGATCAGTCCTGCAGATTTCCTCTCACCCCTGCTCCCTCATAAGGTTTAGGCTTCCTTTAGGACAGACAGGAGCAGAGAGAGAGGGAAGGCAAGAGACTGTCTTTTTGAGTGCCTCCTTTGGAATGACATCGGTTAACGTAGTCTTCATTCTGACCTTAGAGCAGGCCACCGGAGTGGCTGTTTACAAACAAGGATGCGCAGGGCTCAGAAGGGTGAGTACCGTGCCCTGCAAGTCCGCGACCTGAGATCCAGATCCATGTGTGTGTCTTCGCTACGTGGGTGACAGCCCAGATCCTACTGACTGGGACTCTGACCGGCGTGGAGAGAGCCAGACTATCCCTGCAGGCCTCGGAGCAAAGGACCATTGCTGGGAGGGACAGAGCTTCTCCCCGGCTTGTGTTTGCCTAACCCACTCAGCGTCCCCAGATGACAGCTCCTCTCGCCCACAGCCCTGCACATCTGTCCAGTCCCCACATGGCATCGTTCTAATTGTGCCCCAACGTGCTCCAACCCAGCTCTGTAGGGAGAGAACCCTTCCAAAGGAGAAGGAACAAGGTCTGCAGCAAAAGGAAACTGACTCCTTGTATTCAAGGGAGTCAGGAAAGGATGGGGATAGGGAACACAGGGAGAAGTTTTATTGGATTTTAAGTTCTGGAGGGGAGGTTGAAGAAATGCAGGCCCAGAGAGCCCATGCAACAAAACCAGCAAAGTCAAGGCCAGATGACGAGATTAGTTCTGGTCTCCACTCTGCTGCCAACAAACTATATGCATCACTCCCCATCTCTGGACCAGGCGTTCCCATTTATAATAGGAAGCGGTAGACCAAATGAGCTCAAAAGTCCCTTGCAGCTGCCATTCAATGAATTTAGGGGCAGGGCAAAGAGGAGAGGAGCCCTTCTCCTGGCGCCGGTCTCTGTATTTCTGAAATGTCGCCAAGACGTTGCGAGTCCTGCTCTCCTCCAGGACTCAACTTTCCCAACTTTCTAGCTCAAAATGCTCTCAGCTCATACATGATAAGATAGCTGATTTTTCTGCGACTGCACCACTCCCAACCCTCCTTACCTAAACTCTCTGAGGACGGAGGCATCCCCTACCCCACCTGCCCAGAGGGCCAGCCAAGTCCCACTGTGTCCCGAAGCCGCTTACCTTCTCCCTGTGCCAGCAGTGTGGGGAGGAGCAGGGTGAGCAGCGCCTGCGGGGCCCACAGCAGCATGGCGAGCTTCCCACGTGGGAGTGCCTCCGAGTGACTGCTCAGGGAGAGCCCCGCCAAGGGCCAGCCTGCCCGCCCGCTGCCAGCCTCATGTCCCAGCCAGCCTGCCTCTCCGGCCCGCTGCCTGCACCTTCTGAGGCTGCAGGCACACACTCCCCGGGCCACCAGGGTTGGGGAGCCGCCAAGTTTTCCAGCAATCAGACCTTCAGCTGGATCAGGTTTCGGGCGGGAGGAAGGAGGAGGGAACCGCTGAGAGGGGAGCCCGCCCTGGCTGATGTCATGTGGTGGGAGCTCAGTCCACCCATTCAGCCAGGTGGCTTGGCCATGTTTCCCCCAGGAGTGAATTGGGGACAGGGGCTACAGGAGCCCTGGAGCAAGGGTGTAGCCTGTCTGCTGGGAGGTGCACCAGGGTGCTGCTTTCATTTCTGTCCCTTGGCAAGTATGTTCCAGTGGCACTGGGCTGCGGCAGGGGAGGGTGAGTCAGGCAGGAGCCAGAGGGCCATTCTCTTACTCTTCAGGGTGACATAGTGCTCCCAGCCAAGCAGGTGACTGGGAACCCCTGCAGACATAGGAAAGGTACCTGAGGCTGCCAGAGGTTTGCCTTTTTGTCGTCATCTAAATAGTCATACTTAATGGTAAGATATATATTAAAAATAGTAAAATATATATGGTTAAAAATATACTTTATGCATTTTACTATACATAGTATTAAATAAATATGTGTAGTAAAAAATAATAGTAATATATGTTCATTATAGAAAAATATAAAGAAAATTTTAAATCATCCATAAGCTTACTGCCCAGAGACAGCCACTGTTAAGATTTTGTTATATATTTTTCTATACTTTCCTTCTACAATATGTATGCAATGAAGTAAATATACCACATTCACAATTTTGTATCCCTCTCTTTTCTCTTTTTTTTTTTTTGCTTAGTATTATTTCATAAGCATTTTCAATATCTTCCTTTTAAATGTGGCTTTCTTGAAAGAAGTGTTTTTTTTTCTCTTTGTAAGTTAAATAGGTAAGTAGTTATCCCTTGGTTACTCAACTGTGTGCCCTGAAAGTTGCCTGAGGACAGAATTGCTGTGAAGTTCTATTTGAAGGAGTCCTACCCCAGTTCACCACCTGGGCAAATGTGAACTTTTCTACCTCAACTGTGTCGAAGGCAAGATGCACCATGGCAAGCTTCAACTACAAAAAAAAATTCATTCCTTTTAATTTCTTTTCCAGTTGAATCCAAGTATGGAATAGGCTGGGAACACTAGGAAGGAAGAATTTTCTGAATTGCAGTTAAGTTTCAAAAAAGAGAAACCACCTTGGTCAGGGCTGAGTCCTTTTCAGTTCTTATTTATGTGCATCGTGGAATCTGCATGTCCCATTGAGCCGTTCGTTGATGGAGTCCCTTCATATGGCCACCAGCCAGGGCTTGGTTCCGGAACATTCAGTCAAATTCAGGGAGCCTGGGCTATGCTTCTCTTAAGTCATGTGCTTCATCGCTGCACAATCCAGAAAAACAAGGAAAATCAGCTCCGAGAATTTCTTTTAGGGGAATGGAGATGAGGATAAGTGGTAGAATAAGGGGCCCTAAACTTCTAGAGAATTTATAGAGCCAGACCTCCCCAGGATGAATGTTCTCAGACCCCAGGACAAGGCAAGACAAGAAGAACCGAGTGCCTCCTGGGCCACCAAGCTCAGAGGCAGCACTGTGGACTCGTAAATACATCTTTGAACCCAACCAAGATTCTTAGGCTCCTGCTCTCCTCCATTCATGGCCATTGCCGCTCAGAAATGTGCTGCAAATTTCTAGAGGACTTTCTCCTCTTGTTTATGTGCCTTGCGAAATCTGCATATAGCATTACACTGTTCTTTCATGGGGTTCCTTCATATGGCCATAAGCCAGCCAGGGGCTGGCCTTCAGCAGTAACAAACCCATTGGGCTTACCATCATAATCATTTCATCAGTAAGGGACAGACATTGAATTGCCCCCTGTCCCCTGCACCCTAACCACTATCCCCAAATGCCCCATCTTGTACTCTGTGGGGTGCTCGTGTGTATCCAGTGTGGCTGGGCCCACTCCCCGCACAGAGCCAAGCCATTTGGAGACGAAGCCAGGAAGAAGCATTAGGAACTGAACTCTTTCCGCAAGCAGTAGCACCAACGCGGGAGGGAAAACAGCAAGAAGAAGTAGAAGGTAAAACAATATAAAAGAGGTTGGGAGGAGAAGTAGTAAATAAAAGGATGGAAGAAAAGGAGGATGAGACAAGGGGACAGATAGGTAGGAAACCAAGGAGGAAAAGGAAGATCAGAGTGAAAGCCAAGGAAGAAGGAAAGAGAAAAGAGAGAGGAAAATGGAATGAGAAAAGGGAGAGGAGGAGGAAGGATGGAGGAGGCTGAGCTATGCACCCAGTGTATCTGAGGGGGGCTCTCCCTCCCCACCATGGTAGTCTGAAAGTGGGCACTCCGCACTGTGGAGTGGGGTGCCAGCCACGGCGTGTGTGCAAGAAAGCTTGCAGACCCTGTCCCACGGGCCCCGGGCCTTCTTTCTGCACTGAGCCCCTGGAATCCTCTGGGACTGGCCAATTGGGTTAGGGAGGAAAGAGGATGTCCTCTGTACAGTGTGTGCATTAGAGAATTAGCTGCGTAGGTAACAGGATTAGAGGGAGCCGGGCAGGCCGCGGCCCGGGATGGAGATGCATTGCCTGTGCGCCTCTCTGATGGAGCAGCAATCAAGTTTCCCCCAAAGAAATTTCCTGTTAATGGATTTGATGGCACGACAGACAGAAGGAAGTTGGAATCATGTGGCCAGTGGCAGGGTGTAAATTGCCCTGGATGAAACTGTGGAGTTCCTTTTGCCCCTTTTAAACAAGATAAGAATTAGTGCGAGGCCTTGATGAACTTGCCTTGGCCGGTGGGGACGAGGGAAGGGCAGAGACCTGGCTAATTTGATTCCCGCGCTCGGCCTGCAGACGGCCAGGCTCCTCTGCGGGAGCGGAGACAGACACGCAGAGGGCAGCGAGCCAGCCCGGCTAATGAAAAGCTCTGAGACTGCAGGACCCACAGGCCTGGGCCCTCCCTGCGTGTCCAGCGGCTCAAGCGCCGAGGGGAGGAGGACTGTGCTCCCACGTGGGCCTGAGCCTCCCACCCGCGGATGGGTGCTGTCGCCACTGTCCTACCCATGGTTGCTTTTCTTGCTCCCATTTCCCAGGCTAAAACACAGAGCCCAGAGAGCCCCCATGAGCTGCCTTAATTCCCACGCCAGTTACGGATGGAACTGAGATCTTCCAGACTCCTGGCTCCAGTCTCTTCCATGACAGCAGTGTTTCCCATCTTCTGCAGTAAAATTTTACTAGTCTGTAAAACTTTTACCACCAAAGAGCCTGACCTTTTAAAACCTATAAACTTACCAAAACTCTGCAACCTGTAGTAACATCTGGCCCCACTAAGGGCCCACCTGCTGGGGAAGGGCTGGAGCAGACTTATGGCTTGTCATCACAGTGCTAACTGGAGGATGTGTCCTCATCTTCCCCCATCACCTTGAGGACAGGGCTCCATGGAGCTCCTTTTGTTGGACACTTAGGTGTGGCACTTGCTCACGCAGCGTCCCTACAGAACGCCCCTCTCTCCGTGCTGTGCGGCAGATAGGGAGGACAGACAGGTGCACCTTTTCCAACGCCGTTTCCAGGAACCTGACACATCCTGGCATGGTGGTTGGAAGATTTATGGGCTGTCTACTCACGGAGAGGGTGGAAACCAGCAGGATGGGAAAATGCCTCACTCAATTTCCTCGTTCTTCTACCTGAAGAGGCAGCAGTGGCCTTTATAGGAAGGAGAGAGACACAGCAGTGTTCTCAACAGAGGAGGATCTCTTCCTTCCTGGTCTCCTTTCCTTGATGTCCTATCATGTGTGACTCTGACCTTTTCTCCACCAAGGCCCTGGGTCCTAGGAACGGCCCCATTCTGCACCACCCCACCAACAGTGGCCACCATTTATCAAGCATATACTATGTGCCACGCACCGTGCTCAGCTCTTTATATTATGTATTCTTTTTTTCCTATGAAGAAGGTATTATAATTATTCCCATATTGCAGATGAAAAAATTAGGGTGAAGGGCTGTTAAGCAACCTGTGCAGAGTTACATAGCTAATAAGAGGCAGGTGTGGCACTAGGTCTTAATAGACTCGAGCACCTGGGCTCTTAACCACCTGATGGCACCGAGGGCCACAGCATCCTCTCAGATGGAGACCCAGGCCGATGGGACTCCGGCTCCTACACCCCTCCCTCCCAAATCCTAAAACAGATGGGGGTCCCACTCCTGGCTTGATCCCTCTTGTTCAAAGGGCTGGCTCTACATGAGTCTGCTAAATATAGATACTCTTATTGAAGAGTATCCTAAGGATATATGATAACTTAGACCATGAAGTTTACAATTTTCCCCAGTACAAAGTGGGTCTTCACAGTAAATTTGGCCTGGTTGCCTCTGCAGCCCCTCTTCATGGTGTGGAAGTGATGCTAGGGTTTTTGGAGTGTGTTATTACTCTGTCAGGTCTGGAGGCCTGGGACAAGGCTTCATCTGAAGGGTGGGGCTATTTCTTGTCTCCTGTCACATGGAAAATGGGCCTTTTCTAGACCTCCAACCAGATAGGTTGGAAATCCTTAAGTTTTGGCACAGTGGGTTTTTTCTTCTCTCAATATTCACCCCAAGAGGTCAAGATGACCGAGAGCTTGTCCTAGGAGGTGGATACGTATATGCCACCTTCTACATGGATGGAGGCAAGGAATGGGAATTAAGAAACCCAAGCAAGGGACCTGGGATGTAGTGCCTTTGGGACCCTACAAAGCAATTTCAGGACACTGGAAAACATGGCACAGGTCTAGAAGAACTGAGACCCCCTAGGCATGACAAGTTCATAGTTGAGTCTTCACACACCCCTTTTGCTTACTTTCCCATCCATTCCCT